CTACCTTATTATATTTTCATTACTACTTGCGGATATATATAACTAATTAATATCTCAATACATTGATTCAACTTTTTAATTATTTCAGCTGAGCGAAATGGAATTCCAATTGGACCTCAGGTAAAAATTTTAATTTACGAATTTCAGCACTTCAATAATCTTCGATCTACTGAAACATATCATTTAATTATTTAATTCTTGCTTAATGTCTATACAGGCTGGTTCAGAGTGGTTGTACATTGTCCCTATTGGAATATACGATCTTTTGACTTATGCAAAGCGAAAATATAAAGATCCCGCTATTTACATCACTGAGAACGGTATACCTATAATCGATTTTTTTATTTTTATTTTTTTCAATCATTGAAATTCAGAAAAATAGAATTTAATTTGATACACATTGTTTTGCAATATTAATTTAATGCAGGGGCCAGTGAAAAGAACGTAAAGAATCTGCCAATTCACCTCCTTTTGAATGACGACTACAGAATTAAGTACCATCAGCAACATCTTGCATATGTGAAGCTTGCTATAGAGTAAGTACATAGGCACATTTTTTATTTAAAAAAAATGTTGTTTTTTTAAACTAGTTTTTAAATATATATGAATTTACAGCACAGGGAAGGTCAACGTGAAGGGATATGTGGTGTGGTCCATATTGGACAACTACGAATGGGCCGCGGGCTACACAGTACGATTTGGAATGTACTTTGTGGACTACTTAAATGGGCTTAATAGGTATCCCAAGAAGTCCGCCATTTGGTACATGAACTTCCTTAACAAAAAGAAGCTTCCGGGACCTAAAGATAGGGAGGTCGAGGAAATCAATGAAAATGAGACGCAAGGAAAAAAGAAACGCAAGTATTAGAAGATTTGATGGCGTTATTATCAACATCACGTGCTATTCATGGCCTTAAACGATCTATTTGTGTTGCGAATAAGGCATCTATCTACTGCCACTCTTTGTATTTGTTGCTTAGTATAACATTATGTGTTTGTGTTTGAATTAATTTGTATTCGGATGGTTGAGAGCGTGAGATGCATGTCACGACATTGAATGTGTATCAATTTTTCAGCCCAGAGGCTTTGTTGAATTAGTTTCTACTTGTTTGCATAATTGGATATGTTCTCAATTACTATATATATATGTAAGGATTATTTATCTAATTAAGTTTGGTTTAACTGTTACTGTTTGATATAAAAGGATAGCTAGTACAAGTATACACTAGTAGATAATTAAGTAAATGTCAGCCATATAGTACAAGTACTCAGTTGCTGTATTGAGTAGGTAATATCAGGTCTGGTCAAGTTAATACATAAGAGCTTGCCCATCAATCTTCTGTATCAATCAGGATTTTCAAAGAGTTCACTTTGACAATTGAGAGAGATCCCTGGAGGAAGAGGAGTGACAACAAACTTACAAGACTCAAGGTGAACTGAAGTAAGTAATAATTCTAGGACATATTTCTTTTGACTTAAGAAAATGCCTTCGGTCCCTCGAGCGATTTCCATACCAATAAAGTACTTGGCAGGACTAAGGTTCATAATGGTGAAAAGATCATTACAATATGTCTTAAATTATTAAAACCATAGCTCTTGTACTCATAATCCAGGGCCTCATCAGTGTAAGAGGTTGACTGAGGGAGGTTGTAGTCGAAGTTTTTGGAGGTCAAGGAAGTGTAAGTGTAGCAGATCTCATCGGAAGGAAAAAGAGGGTGGCAGTAGACATTGACGATGTCATAGCCGCCACCATAGGTGACTGAGTCGTACTCGTAGAAAAGAAGAACTCACAATAGATAATGGGGGTCGTGCCTGTCGGGATGGAGGGGAGGGGATTGATAGTGGTGATTGAATTATAAAGGGAGGATGAGAGGCGGACACCGAAGGTAACGACCTTCTATTTCGTCGACATTGGAGGATGGTGTCTCCAACAGAATCGAGCAGACGGCGGATGATATGAGATACCACATCATGTCGATTTGACCTGAGAAACATCCTTACTAAACCGGACATATTTGGATCGAGCTGGACGCAGCGGCTGTCGCCACCCTCCTAACTTCGGGTCGCCAGAGCTCGTGGCAGATTCAGCACCCGCTTATGCGCATTAGAGCTCTACTTCGGCCTGTCCATCACAGAATCACGCATATTTTCCGTGAGGGGAACAGACCTGCTGACTACCTTGCCAGCCTTGGCGCCACCATACCAGACCCACATACGTTTCAGAAAGACACTGCTCCACTCCGTCTCCGCACGCTTGTACGGATGGACCAGCTAGGATATCCATCGTTTCGCTTTCAGTAGATTAGGTTTATTGCTTTCATTAGATTAGATTTTTTTTCCGGGCACCTGTTAGCCCGATGACAGACTTTGTTTTGTTTTTCTGTTTTTTTTTTTGTTTTTTGTTTTGCTTGTGAAACTCTATAGACTGTAGTATGTTGATATTTTGGGCCCCCGTTTTGGGGTCTTGATTTATGCACAGGTTGGGGATCCAGCCCAATCCTCCGCCCTTCTGGGGCGTTGTTTGAAAAAAAAAAGAAAAAAAAAGCCCAACAACAAGAGACAACTAACCTAGCAACTACTTAGAACTAACCTAGCAACAAGATAGAACTAATAACTTAGCAACAAGATAGAACTAACCTAGCAACTACAGAGAACTAACCAAGCTAGCTGGAAGGTTAGTTGTCAACGGTCAACGCTGGAGTCAACGGTCAACGCCGAAAGTCAACAGATTTTCGCCGGAAGTCAACGGTCAACACTAGAGTCAACGGGTCAAAATAATATTTAAATAATTAAAATAATAAAAAGAAAAGAGTAAATCTTGGCTACACATGATGTACCAAATCTTGTGGCTAAAAATGAGTCTCACGTTCTCCCTTTAAAAAAACGGCCGCATTTGAACCAATCCCTATATTTATATATATATTTTGCCTGTATTTTTCCATTTGAGACTTTACCTAATTACATCAAAATAGACAAATTATATCTTTTTTTCTTCCTGACAATATTATTGGCATAAGGTTTCTAATGGTACTTGGATAAAAGATTAATTTAGATTGCTAGAAATCTTACATTAAATTTCCAACTACTTTAGCACGTGCATTCGACGATAATACATATTTACGATAATGGTCCCTCGATCAAAATTAATGATTGATTATGTTCGTTTTCTATTATCTACAAAGTTGATTCATTTATTTCAAGTTTTATATTAGTTTTATACAAAAAAATCATTTTGAAGTTAAAAACCGATTAAAATTTATTATAACAAATTAAAAAGTAAACAAGAAAATATTGGACCAAACTTTAGGTAATAAAGAACTTTTAAATTAAAAGGGCAACTTTTTTTTTCTCCCCACCACAGATATATTTAAACAATAACGAACTTCAAGGATAAGTGTGAATAATGAGACTTTAAGAAGAGTTGAAATTTCCTTTTTTTGTTATATCTATTCTTATTCTATTCAATTTGATAATGTTTAATAAAGGTTCAATGATAATAAGCTAAAGTAACAAAAACAATGATGATGGCCATGACAAAGTTGAATAGGATTGTACACTAGTTACTATCAGTTTCCAATTGTTTTTGTTTTATATTTGCACAAGTACTGCGCATGTGTGGAGCCCTATGTATTGTACAGTATGAATGTATAACACACCCAACTACGTAATACATAGCTAAAAAGTGAGGAACAAATTTTGAAATTGCAAATTAGATAATAATGTTTCATCTCCTGCAACAACCAAATTACCAAACGAGTTAAAAAGTCAACAGTTTTCTTCTTTAAAAAACAAAGGTAAAACCAATTCAAGCACAAACCACTACATAGGAGGCGGTTTTTCATGGTATTGCTCGGGACTAGCGTACTACCTCCAACCAAGACCGTCTCCAACATTTTTTGGGCCCAGAGCGAAAAATAAAATTAGGCCCCCCTACTTACAATATTGAATAATATATTTTTAATATTTTATTAATAACAACTTCCACTTCTCAAGTAGGAAAGAACCTCCCCGGATAGACAAAACACAAAAGGCTCTTTCTATATATTATTATACTTTTTATTTATATTATTATATATATATAATATTTTAATATTTATATATGGGGCCCCAATTAATTGGGGGCCCTGTGCAGTTGCTCACCCTGCTCCCCCCAAAAGCCGGCTCTGCCTCCAACACATGGTATTCGTACTAACTAAAAAAATATGTGAATTGGAATTGTTATTATATTTGTATTGCTAGACACTAGTTATGTTAGAAAAAATAAACTATAGCAGATGACTAGCAATGACGGATCTAGGAATCTTACTTAGGGGGCTCGGTTTAAATGTCAAATAACAAGTTGGTAGTTTAATATGAAATGCCCATTTAATATAAAAATGTGTTTACTTATAAATATAAATAATGATATGCGTACCATCAAGTTTTTTAAAAACATAGAACCTGTATCACCCTCAAACTTTAAAAAAGAACAAAAAAAAAATGAGATTTCATGTATTTATAATATAAGTTTAACATCTATAACTTTTGGAAAATAAGTTTTTTGGTTAAATTTTTTATTTAAATTGAAATTTTAAAGTACATTGCATAGCATTTATTGTTGATGAGAGCTTATCAAATGACTATTTTTTTAAGTACAAAATAAATAAAGTTAAAAATATGTGATTACACAAAAAAAAAAAAAAAATCAACATTAAAAATCTAACAATCCAACTAAATTCTCAGTTTTATAATCACTAAATCAATTTACAATTAAAAGACCAAAATAATAAATCTATATCTATCTATCTATCTATATCTATATCTATATCTATATCTATCTATATCTATACTATTCTAAAAGAGTCAATGAATCTGTAAAAATATATTTTGCCTAAAATAATCTTACTTTTTCATCTTTGTAATTTAAAACTCACTAGTACGTACCCCGTGCGATGCACGGGAGAGATATATTCAATTAATTATTTTCACAGGCTTTGTCTGTTTAAGTCTGAGAATGGTTATCATCCATTTTTCACTTCTTTTAATCACCGTTTAGTCCCGTTTAAGTCTGAAAAGGGTTATCATCCATTTTCCACTTCTTTTAATCACCGTTAAGTCTAAAAAAATAGGTTTGTAATCTATTTTTTACACCTTTTAATCAACGTTGTTTTATTAGTCAGAACATTAAACGCGAGCATGTTAGGGCTAACTTGTAAAATAATCAATATATTACCTCACTAACACATTTATACTAATATAAATTTAATTTTATTATATATATTTATTCCTTGATATAAGAGAAAATAACAATTTTACTTATTCTTGTACACTATATAATAGTTAATTATTATTTTAATATAAACTCTGTTGCCATATAATGTCATTATTATTTATAAAGTTATAGAAGTTGCACGTCTTCTTGTTCTTTTTATTTTATGTAATGAAATATATTTAATGCATGTTGGTATTATTTATATAAGTAATCAATTTAAAATATGTAAATAAATTTAAAATTAAATAGTGTAGAAATAATGTACAAAATATACACATATATTTTTTTAGAATTTAATTTTGTATACTAATTAAACAACTTTGATTTAAGAAAAGCCACGAACTCAATATCTTCTAATATCAATATTTTTTCTAATTTGCATTATAATGATTATTCTTATAACATATATAGATTAGAATTTTTGCGACACCAACCAAATTAAATATCACAACAACCAAGTAACAATTATGAAAACCCCATAACACAACAACTATCAATTAAATTTGGTAATAGAAAAATTACATGCATATATATAAAAATATGAGGATTCTATATTTCTATTAACTGATGTATACAACATGTGTATATTTTGTTAAGGTATATTGGAATGTTCAATT